ATTATTGTTATTGTTATATTTCTTTTTTTCTTTTTTTTTTTTTGTTCAAAACTTCTTTATAAAGCAAAAATTTAAATAAAAAAAATATTTTAGAAAATATGAGAAAAACAAAATATTTCTTCTATAAGCAAATAATTCCGTAAACAGATACAAACATGAGTGTATGTGTGCATGTATGACATAAAAACACCAATATTTTTTTTTTTTTTTTTTTTTTTAAATGCGTTCATCATCAAATATGAGCGAACAAAATTTTAACAAAACGCTACATAAATATGCAAAAGTAAATGTAATCGTCAACATAGGCTTGTGTTACAAGTACCTTAACGACACTTCTTCAATTGTGATGGTCGTTAATTTTGTTTGAATAGAAGGAGAACGCGAAAAAAAAAGAAAAAAGCGCAATCTGATGATCTTTAAAATTTGACTATAAAGATGGAATTAAATGTAAATTTGTAATACCAAGCCTCAAGGCGATTTTTGCAAACCTTGCCAAGTGTGTGCTTAAGTTAAAGTCAATAACACCATTTAAACTAATATTTTCTTATTTATTTATTTTTTTTTTTTTTTTAAATGTTTGTACGTTTGTATGTTGAAGTAGTATCCACCCAAAGATTGATTGATCTTTGGAATATTCGGATGATATCGTTTAGCTTTCTTACCATATAATTAAAATACAAGATTTCTGGATTGACCTATCAAGTTAATCTAATTACCTTTCGTTCGAATCAATTCTTTTACACGTTCGCAATTAACTAATAGACAAAAGATTTTTCTAAATGCGAGGAAATGATTGTACATTCAAGGTTACGTTAACACTGTCATCGCTTACTTATTTGTTTTATAGGCTGTAGATGATTGGCTTTTTCCAAGAAAAAAAAAACAAAAAAACTTGTTTTATCATATATAACTATGATATTTAATTATTATTTACAAAAGATCACAGAGATTTAGGATATAATTACCTTAGGTAATAGCGAATGTTAGTCGGTGTTAACAAGTGGAAACTTTTTTAATTATCAACGGAAGCAGGAAGTTTGCCCCTAAATAGTTTTGCAGGGCAGACAACAACCAGAAAGAGCCATCAGAAATAGGCATAAATTGCATTCTTGCTTGAACTACTCAAAATTCCAAAAATTCTATCGCTATCTCTTTCACCTCTTTTTCTGTACGTCTGTTCGTCCGCCTAGTCGAAGTTTACGGTTACAAAAACTACCATAAAAGATTAAAACCTGGCTTCTTCCCTTCAATGGCCGTGAAAATGAAGTAGAAAAACGAATAGATTCATTCGTAACAGATAAATATATCGACGACTTCTATGACGAATATCCAAGATGTACGAGCATTTCAAAGTTCATCACCAAAGTAGAGATGATCTACTTACAATAATCACGAGTTGTGTCTTATAACTTTTAGCCGGTGACGATCTAAAACTTGACGTACCGAATTTCTACCATCAGTTAGAAATTTATTGCGACAACGATTGTGATCGATCGACCTATGCGTCCACAATTAATTCATTTTTGGCAGGGTTCAAAAATTAGCCCTAAAAGGCAGATGTTCCAATTATGCCTCCGAGAAAAATGGTTTCTCCTCCACTTTACTATTTTAATCTTTAATAGATCTGTGCACTAATACTACTATAATAAAAATATGAATATTATTGGAAAAGCAAAGCGAATGGAAAGGAAAAACGCCAAATTTTTGGCTGAAAGCAAACTCTACGGTTTCATTTTCACACTTCACGTTTCAAATAATAAAAAAAAAAATATTTCTGACGAACATAATTTCCTCACTAGTTTTTTAATGCATTTTAATAATAACAACAATAAAAAGAGAAGAGGATCGAGTCAATGAAATGTTGAATATTTACTTCAACAACACTAGAGTTGATTTAGATAGGAACCAAAGTACGACTTAATTGCGTTTAACTGAACACCTTTGAAAGCCTTAAATGTTGAAACAGCTGAAACTTGCACCCTACGAACATCAATGTCTAAGCTACGAATGTGAATAATTTCGGATGAAATGAACACTTGATGGTTGTTTTACAAAGCTGTGAATTTCAACACAGAGAAATTATTACCACGCCTCGTATATATATATACAAGAGTATATATATATATATATATATAAGAGTATATATATATATACAAGAGTATATATATACATACAAGAGTATATATATATATATGTTTGTAACTATATATAGCATCCAGAGTTTCTTTGAAAAAATTTGCAGTTTTGCAACAACAAGCGTTAAGTGTCTCTCAAACGCAGTTTCACTTATCAAAGTTAACGGTATCTTAATATCGTTAAGTAGAATAAATCAAATAGTAAATCAATGTAAATATCACCGGCAGGATTGAACTATGTTTAGATTAGAAATTAATCGGAAATTTATTAATTTATTTATTTTTATCTGGAGAAAAGTAAGCATTTCTATTGAAAGCAAAAAATAGTAAATATTTAAACGCATACGAAAAAGCATTAAATGTCGTGGAATAAATGAAAAAAAACTCTAGTTTAACTAGTCATATGAACAGTTAGTTGTAGTATAGAAATAAAGCAAATACTGAACAATAAAATCAAGTATTAGCTAAGCAGTAAGGATGAATCTTTGATTCTAGATATTCTAGAAAATAATATATATATGTCTATATACACCTCGGATAATATACTTGCACCCACCAATGCATAAAAATATTTATCTGACTGTCCGCCTGTCCGCTTGATGAAAGGAAAATTAGCATAAGCTACTTATCTAAGCTGCGTCTTATCTTTCCCTTTTTTTATTGAGTTATAATAAATGCTTGAAATGCTTAAAAAACTCTTTACAAGTTGTTTTAAAATTATTACAAATATAAGGAATCAGTCCTTATATTATGTTAGGCATATTGTACTGGTATTTCCCATTACAGTTTATCAGATGCGAAAGGTACACAAGATGGTATCGATCCATTACTTGCAGAAAACTTCGTGCACGTTGAGATGATATATATATATATATATATTGTTGTCTACCGTAGTATAATAATTGTAATTGCCCGAAATACGGCTTATAAATGTTCAAAGGCAGTCCGTTTATTCTTAACTGATCTGATTTAATCGCCTTACGGCATATTGTTGAAGTTTTCATGTACAGCGTTTTGAAATCATAATCGCTAATCACATTGATGAGAAATATAAATTCTTGATGAAAATTTTGATACACTTGATAAGCTTATTGCATGGTAATGTGATTGATCCGCCAATTAATATCTAAGCACTTAACATATGAACATAATAATAATTGCAATATGTTTTAATAACTTATTAATGTGTTTAAAAATGGACCTCATTACTTTTAAAGCAAATTTAAATATAAATAAAGAAAAATAAAAAAAAAAATAAAAAAAAAACCTTTTTTAAATAACTTAATCAAAGTTAATGATTACCTATCTACTACTAAACTACTAAGTATTTATGCTCACATACCAGTCACTGTCTGTCTGTCAGTTTGTAAAAAGCATGCGATCTAAATTGTCCTATAGTATTAAACCCCTGATTGCTTAACCAATCTATAGTAATTTTTGGATTTCTTTTTTAAAGCAAAAAAAAAATCTGTTGAAAAAACTTAAAGAAAGAAAAAAAAAAAACCAAACTGGTTTATGGTTTACAATGCTTATTGAAAGGGCCAAAGGTGTTATTATCAACATATGTATTAACATAAATCCATATGTCCGCACGCTTTTAACAATGCCTAGCTCAAGACAAGTGCAACGGAACGACAATAACTATAAACCTGCTGTAGTTTGAGTTTTTCCAACTGGTTTAAGCTGAAATGCTTACGCAGCGAAAACGAAAAAAAAAAAATATATATATATATTCTGGAGTAATACGTTACTCTAAACTATAAGAGCATCATTTTTTTTTTTTTTTGCTTTTATTTCCCTTATATTCATATTGTGCAACACAACAATCAAGTTATTGACTTTCGGGTTTTCTTTCTTTCATGAATTCACTCATAGCTAATTATATAATTATAAGAATAGCTTAACCTTGACTAAAAGGTAAGTTGCTTCAACTTACACTCATACTGATAAATTGAAATTAGTTAAGCATAATTATAATGTTTAAAGCGTAATAAGATAATCAATAAGGGAATAGCTACAAATGAATTACATAAAAGCAAATAGATAACTTACTCCTGTACTTACATTACATTAGTATTCGGACCTTATCTGATAAAATATATCTGCGAAAATCATTCAACTTTTTGCTTGCATATATGTGGACTTTTCTGTAAATCGATTTAAGCTATTTTTAGAAAGACTTTGAAATGGAATTCATATCCAGAAGAATTATGATTGAATGTGAGCTGGATATTATGGTAACGTTCTAGTATGTTAACGAAAATATTGTAAGAAACTTTATGATCATCTTTCTTTCCTCCGGTTACCGCTCTATCCTCAAGAACCAAAGCTTTCGTCATTTTCGTGGAAAAGCTACGGTCGATTCATCTCTTCTCTGTTCTCTTAGAAAGTAGAAGAAATTCGACTTTTTAGAAAATTCAGTCACGTCTGCTCTACATAAGTCGAGTCTTCGGATAAAAATGTGCCACATAAGAATAAAGAAAGTTCTCTTGTCTGTAGTAATAGCACCCAGTACAGCGGTTGACCTTTCTTTTTATCCAAACCTACTCTGCCGTTATTATAAATTATATTTAAATTAATTAATTATTAATAGAATTAGAACAAACGACATTTTCCGCTTAAATTTTTTCTACCGTTTTTGCTCGTTTTGACCCGTAAATTTTTTCGGAATTATTAGGGTTATAAGAGTGAGGAGAGAAAGCGAAAATTTGTGGAAAAAATTGCTCTGGTTCCCCCACAAGCACATTCACAATAGTTCAGAAACTCAGGCCACCTCCGGGGAACATTCAACATTTCATTTTCATATTTTCCTCTATGACTTAACTATCATCATATTAATTACATTATAATTACATTTAATTATAGATTTTCATAGCAGAAGAAGTGTATTCACAATGTCTGCCAGTATAGTCTCCCTGAGAATGAATACGTCCACCGCTATGGTGGATCGTATGGTGAATTTTTTTGTAGAACATGAAGATTTGCGTACAAAAAGTTGGTTTCTATCCAACTCTCCGGGACCGCTATTCATGATATTAGTCGCATATTTATATTTTTGCTTATCAGCGGGTCCACGATATATGCGTGATCGTAAACCGTACGAATTGAAAACCACCTTACTGGTGTACAATGCTTTACAAGTCGTATTTAGTTGGATATTACTGTACGAGGTAAGTCATAAATAAGGCAATGAAAATATGTATAAAAAAAAAAAAAAAAAAAAAAATGAAAAATTTTAATAAATTTTCAAAGGGCTACAAAGGCGGTTGGGACGGTTATTATAATTTTAAATGTCAACCAGTTAGTTATACAACAGATCCACGAGCTATGAGAGTAAGTTCCCTATTCCGTATTAAATTCAACGTACACGACACGCACACGAACAGTTTTCAATTTCACATTTTGTAGATGGCTCGGGCAGTTTGGCTATATTATATCGCCAAGTTAACGGAATTACTGGACACCGTATTCTTTGTGCTGCGTAAAAAAGAACGTCAGGTTTCATTCCTCCATCTATATCATCATACAATGATGCCGATTTGTGCCTTTATCGGTGTTAAGTACTTTGCAGGTATGTTTCGAAAGCTTTATGCGACGATAATCGTCACTAATAGTGTTCTACTTGAATAGGTGGTCATGTTACTTTATTAGGTTTCATCAATTCCTTTATACACATTATAATGTATACATATTATCTGTTGGCTGCTTTGGGTCCCCAAGTTCAAAAGTATTTATGGTGGAAAAAGTATTTAACAATTATGCAAATTGTAAGCAATATTTAAATTTTATAACAAAAAGTTATTTATTAAAAAAAAAAAGAAAAGAAAATTACTTTACTTTTCTTCTTTTTTTTTTGTTTTTTTTGTTTTTGCTTCAGATACAATTTTTAATCATTTTTGTTCATACGGGCCAATTGCAATTTCAACCCAACTGTAATATATCAAAATTTATAGCCGGTTTATTAACATTCAATGCGGCTTTATTCACCTACATGTTCAGCTCCTTTTACGTAAGAAACTATATGAAGAATAAATTTCAACGTAATACCTCCGATCAAGCAATTACGACTAAAACAAAATAAGATGATGGCATTAAATTAAATTAATTAGCAATTAATTTCTTTATATATATGCATAACATACAATATCAAATCATATTATATTATATATAATAATATTAATTAGTAATATCAGGCTTTAGAGTATAGAGAGAAAATGTATAATAATTTAATTAAAGATAAGAATTTTCACAAATTTCAGTTTTATATAATTAGATGGATGTGTGTTCGTTTGCACTAAGCACACAGCATTTTGATTATATTTTGTATTAATTTTTCATATAAATATTGCATTAATCACTGCGAAAGGGTCCATAAATGTATTAATAGATATTTCGGGAAATACTTGTTTAGAAGTAAATCTCTTGTTCTGTACGTGTAAGATAAACTCAATCAAATTGTATTCTTTCTCTTATCTCGAACGTGAAAAGTTTGGTTTGCATGATGAAAAGAGACAATAAAAACGATAATAAAAAAGATAACAAAAAAAGATTTAACCGATCTGTGTTCTTATGTTATGTTCTCACATTTTTAATGATAGGATCTTTTCGCAGAAACCTCTCATTCTCTATTGCTAGCGGTGAAGGTACGTCGGAACAATTGTTTGTTCTTTCCACTATTTATCAGATATGTAAATACGAAACCGGAATTTGCCCCAAAATGACATACAAAAGTGAGTTGAGTTTGATAACCCTAGGCATAAATATTCACAATTAGATCCACGTGTACCGTTCATATCTATAGCAAGAACAAACCACTATAGCAAGAAGGCTATACGTTCTGTTGATAGGATCAACCGGTAGGAAGTGATTCTACCGAAAAAATAATGGATTTCTTTTTCTCCAACATAATATAATATGCTTGAACGATGCGCTGCTCCAAAAACAAGCGGAATATTAAAAAAGGCGTCACAAGAGTATTTTTTTATATGTGATCCGTCCATTCATCCACATTACGAAAGCGGTGAGGAATACACTCGAAATACTCAACATAGTAGCGCTAGTCCATGCGGCTTACTCGAATCCTTCCCAACGCTTTGATTCGTACGATGATAGGGAAAAACCACTCAATGAATATTTCGAGACAAAAGAGAAAGTATTTTTTTAACGATGGTCAACAATCCGAATTTTCCGAATATTTTTTTTGTATTATTATTATTATAAATAACGTAGCCAGAGAAATAAATTCTAAAACCACAATCGCATTTGAGAGTCGAACCCACGTCCAATGAACCGTTAATCGAGATCCTATTTGCCTATTCGCCCACTGCGGAGGATATTTTTTCTTTTTTAACTTCTACGCAATGGCCGGTATTTTCTGTACAAGAATTCCTCTTTACGTAGCTGTTAACAATAAAATCGTAGACTTACGCAGAAACTATGTTTCCATGCCATGCATTCACATTTCTTATCAAAAATCGTACACTTTTACATGCAGTCTTGACAAAAATTCAAACTTCAATTTTTGTTTTCAATCCTTTGTCCAATCACGAGCGCGTATTCATTCAGTCATGCGAATACATATACGAACAGATAAAGTTTGTCTCTAGAAAGCTGTCCTAAGAACCGCGAGAATACATCCTTTTAAGGGATATCAGAAAATCAAGCTGCATTGGGTGAATTTTAAAAACATTCAAATGAAAATTTTATAAAATATTATTTAAGTGTTGCTCTTTTATGAGCTTAAAGGTTTGAGTATAATAACTTAATACTAATACGTTTACTTACCTTTCGAAGCGCATGGAAATTAGGCACGACGAAAGTTCTCTAAGTTTACTAGTCAGAAAAGAGATTTGAATTTTCAAAATTGAATCAAGATTCATTCACTCCACTGTATTTATTAGCCGATTTGACGAAAGAATAATTAATTAAAAAATTTGTCTCTTTATATATAAAATAGAAAAGGTAATCAGCTGTCATCAAGAGATCTTTCCATTAAAAAAAATGTCTACTTTTAGTGCATTCAAGACTTTACGGCAGAAGCACTCTCGCCTAAGTCAATTAAGTTATAGTTCTCATTGTTGTGTTTCCACAATTTTCGGATGGAATCAGCGATATCGAGGTTTGTCCTGCAACTTCCTGTATATTAAGTATTCGAAAATGCCGTGACGTTCCCTATGAAGTATTCAAGTATAGTTTAGATAACAACTGCTTCAAGTCATTGATGGCATTCAGAAGCTTATGAACGAACGATACGTCTAACATAATTCGTCTGCTTTCTCGGCGCTAAATGATTTCTATATGGTAGAAGGTGGATATTAAAACCCCAGAGCCTAACGCGAAAGCAGAATTGTAGAGATTGTTTTTGTACGGACTCAATTGATTTCAATTTGTTTGCACTATAGATCATGTTGTGGAATGTTCCTCGAGAATTAAGAAATTGGATTTACGCGTCAAATTAATAATCATAAACTATTACTTCCCAGTAATTATTATATCGCGTGGGTTAAACTACTTTCTAATAATTTCGATAAAGAAAATTTTGCCAACGAAATATTTCATCTTACACGTATATAATGTTTTTGATGGAATACAAATCGTATAAAAATGAAATTAAAACGAATTGTTTCAAACGTATTTCGCGGACACACACAAAAGTGATTTCACGAAACAAATAAAGATACTTGCCAGTAAGAGCAGGCATAATGGAATAGAAATGCCGACATATGGCAACACTAAAGCGAAGCAAAAGTGAAAAGAGATTGGAAAAGAATTTCACATTTCGGAATTATCAAAAGAAAAGAGTAACATTATTACGGACGAGGAAAATTTTTAAAAAACATTTATTTAATTTGAAATTGATTTTCTATAAAACGTTTAGATTGCAAAACTTTCTTCGTATTCAAATAAAAGTGGAAATAGAACAGGGCGTTAATTGGAAAAATTATTTAATGAAATTTCTGGAAAAATCCCGCATAAATCCTTTGATAATTAAGACGGCTGAAGTAGAAGGCTGAAAGAAGGCCTTTAAAATACATAATCAATTAAAACAAATTGTGCGTTGGTTCTCTAAAAAAAAAAACACAACAGAGCAATAAGAAAAACAAAACGCAATGATGGTAGAATCTGATGGTACAACAGATGCCACCCGACGTTTAAATGTCAAAAAGCAGACCTTGGATGATGCATACGCCGTGCCAGCGAATTTCCTAGAAATAGATGTTGTAAATCCTCAGACTACAATGACTGCAGGCAAAAAACGTTACACCGACTATGAAGTTAAAATGAGGGTAAGCGATAATGTATAAAAAAAAATGAAGAACTTTTTGCTGCGACACTTAAGCAATTTGAAAATCTTAGTTCTCTTAGTAGTTCTTAGTAAAGAAATGTTTGGGGCGTAAAACTTAAATGAGCACTTAGAACTCACAGTCGCTGATAAGTTTTGATCACTCAAAGAACTTTATCAGTAAAGCTGAAATTACTCATAAATCTTTTGTATGAGATTAGTCATAACAATGTTGACAAAAAAAGCCATTGACTAAATTTTTCTTCAAGTTTATGTTTTATTCTTACCACTACCTAAAGTAATATTATATTAGCTTTGTCATTCTTTACGTGACATACGTGCAATGTTGGACAGGTTTGGTCATTTGGCTCACTGAACGTAATCCGTTTCTCTTCCATGTTAAGCGTCAAAGTAAAACGGGTCCGCAACAATTGCAAAACTAAAATATCATCAAAATTGTATTGAAGAATTTGAATTTCGCTACAAATGAACAAGGCCGTTCGAAAAATAATTAATCTGCTCTTAGCATTCGTGGATTTGCCTATTGTTGGGAAGGAATTCTAGTTCTGCTAAACTTTGAGTTCAGCAATAGGTATTTAAGTTAGTTTGACTTTTCTCTAAAGTGTCTTTTTTTTGTTTACTCTTTAACACATTTCTAGCGTCACAAACACCCTCGCAATGTAAACGTAATAGAAATAATTTAATTATAGCAGATGTTGAAGAAAAAAATTTGAAATTTTCTTTTTATAAATTATTAATTATTACAGACGAATTTGCCCGTTTTTAAAGTAAAAGAATCTAGTGTACGACGCCGATATAGTGACTTTGAATGGTTAAGGAATGAATTAGAACGTGACAGCAAAGTAAGTATCCAATCAGAATATTAAAGTATTATTTACTACTAAAATACTAAAATGTAAAAAAATTGTAGATCGTGGTACCGCCGTTACCTAGCAAAGCCTGGAAACGTCAAATGCCTTTTCGTAACGACGAAGGCATATTTGATGAGAATTTCATTGAGGAACGTCGCAAAGGACTAGAGGCTTTCATTAATAAAATTGCTGGCCATCCATTGGCTCAAAATGAAAGATGTTTGCATATGTTTTTGCAAGAGAATGTTATTGATAAAAATTATGTGCCCGGTAAAATTCGTAACACCTAAAAAAACCTACTGACGTTTATAACTAAAAGCTTCACGACTAAATAATTGACATTATGCTAATTAATTCAAAGCCAGAAAATAGAAAACAAAAGAAAAAAAAAAAGGGAAAATTCCTGAAGCATTTTGGTTGCGAGAATGCTCAGAATTGTTTATACAAATCTTGTGGTCTTTATTTGCAAGGTATAAATATAACTGCAACAGAGAACAAATGATCTGAATCTATATAATATACATAGCTTAAGGGAGTGTGAGAGAAAATGATTAACAATACAAATCAAATTTTTTTCTATTAATTTAAGATATTCTACTTTATATATTTTCGAATTCCAATGTTATTGTAATTGTAATTATCGTAAAACATAAAAATCATAAATATATGTATATATATATATGTACATATATATATAAACATTGTACGGTTTTCAAAAATTAAAAAACTGGTTTTTTCTTTTTGATTTAAAGCAAACATATATTACAAAATTTTTTTGTTATCAGAAAATACTCAAGAGAGTCGTCAATATTTAACTGATCTTAACAGTTGACGTGTTCAAACTGAAATTTTATGCTGGCAGTGCTCGTTTATGAATGAAAATCGCGGATGCTATTTTACAATAAAATCAACTCTGCACATTGTTGCGAGCAGCTGTTTTTGTTTAATGCAATTCAGTGCAAATTTTATTTGGATAGATTTATATATATTAAAGCAACCAGTGGAAAAACTTTGACAATTTTTTTGCTTGTGGTCAAATGGAAACGCCAGAAGAGACACCAGTTACCCCTGAAATACCAAACTCTCCGGAAAAACCAAAAATTAATTCGCAAGACTACCGTTTAATATCGAAAGCTAATGACGATTTTGAGAGGTAATTATTTCTAATGTCGCTGATTAATTAAGTGTTATCTCGCCCTTTCCAATCTGTTGCAGTGGCAATTATGATGCCTGTTTGGAAATTCTCGAGCAACTAGAATTGCTCAGGGGCAGTGATAGCAAGTTGTTGCACAATCGTGCTGTTGCAAAATTTTATAAAACACAATGCAGAAATCATGATGAGCTACTTAAATCTTTGGAAGAGTTAGATGATGATAAAACGGTAAGCGTAAGCGTCTACATCAGTAGTTAATAACTCATTTATTCATTATATCTTTTAATAATAAATTCATTGATTGTAAGTCCTGACTTAGTTGCTTTCTTTGAGTAAGTGGTTGATCTAATTCTCTTTGCAATAATTTAATATTTTGTAAGGCATCTTTTAATAATAGTTGGGCTTTTTTACGCTCATCTACTAATTGATTTAAAACTTTCCTATTCAAATCGCATAATAATTCCGCTTTGGCCACTGTAATAAGAAAGAGTATTGTAGGGTTCGATGAGGCAAAATATTTTGAAAACTTACATTTTGCTTGTTTTTTAATATCCCCTTCAACATTTTCAGATAAATTCTTTAAATGTTCATTCATTTCACTTTCAAACCGACTTCGTTCAAAAGTATCACCGTCGCTTTTTATGGGTAAATGTTTCCGGGATTGCGAAATCCTTATGTTCTTGGAAATAGGAGAGAAGCGTTGACTTGGTGCTCGGCTAGTCCGAACTTTTAAGAAAAATGCTTTATCCATCTGCTCCTGCATTGGTTTTTGATATTTCTTTGAAGATGCCATGGTACTAATAAAGTGCTCAATCTTTTTTTCTTCCTCAAGAAGCTTTCCGACAATCTCTATAGCGTTAAAAAGTATGTGAAGAATTGACTTTTGAACAATCTTGACAGTCAAGGCAAATTTTGAAAAATTTAAAATAAAATTATAACGGATTGGTTAAGTGGTTCTTCTTAAGTTGATTTGTACATGTAATAAGTTAATAATGTTGTCTATAACAAAAAGGATGATGTCAATAGTTAGAAACGCTCAAAATGGATCGCTATAATAAAAGATTTTCAAGAGATTATTTTACGATAAGGAGGCTTCAGAATGACATGGATCTAAATTGATAATCTGAAATGTTGATGCTATCGTTTATTTACGTATAGAAGATTCAGCTTAAGGTGAAGTTTAGACGTTAGTGAATAGGCGATATTCGCGAATATGACCTGAAGATAATGAAACTTTCTTATTGCTTACTTTCTTGTTTTCCTATTTTTTTTTTTTTTTTTTTTTTGTTCTCAGCTCAATCGTTGTGATTTAGCCGTGCTACCACAAATGACATCTTCTCCGCCACCAGACCCAGGGCCTTCAGCAATGATTCCAATCTATAATAAAGCAGTCATTTTTTATCATCGTCACATGTTCGAAACTGCTTTGTTAACACTTAAACCGCTCGTACAGAAACTGGATAATTGCGATGAATGTTCAATTGCCTTAATAGGTGTTCTAATGCTGAGGCTCTTATTAGCCACAAATCGTTTAAGAAAAGCTTACGATTTTCTTGAAATTTTGCTGCAAAAATTGGGCACGAGTACATTAACATTAACAGCCGAAGATAGTAATCCCCAAGAGGTTTTACCTGGTATAGATGAGAATCTTGCACGTTGCTTAAAACTATTGTGCATGCTATCGATGGTGGTTAATAGAAAAGTTGTTTTGGTACCGGAAGACGGTGTAAGTACTCTAATTAACTATTATTAAACATAAAATGTGAAATTTATTTATAATATTTTTAGACAACGGAATTTTCCGCTTTAAAGGCTCATCAGTATTATATAATGAAAGATTTTCAAATGGCTGCAAAACAACTAAAAAAAATCAATGTTGACAGTTATAGAGGAGGGTAAGAGCTTCTATGGTAATGGCAGAAGAAGTATAAGCAGTATTTCCTTTTGCTTTAGTTTATACAATCACGAACTAAATACTTTGATTGCCAATAATATGGGAATTATTCATTTGCGGGTGCGTCACTATGCTATAGCTGCTAAATTTTTTCAGAATGCTATAATCTTCGATAAGCATATAGCTGCTAATTTGCGCCAGGCGGAACTGCACCAAATGAGTTCTGTGCGCTCTTGTGAAATTCTGTACAATTTAGGTATAGCTATGTTGCATTTGCGCAGGCCCAAAGAAGCTTTTCAATCTTTTCTTGTACCATTGAAAACTTATCATAACAATCCAAGGCTTTGGTTGCGTATAGCCGAGGCTTGTATTATGGAGCACGAATTGGTAAATGAAATGTACGTTTAAGAGCTTTCTAGGGTAAATTAAAGTGCTTACTTTATCGTAATAGAGAAGAGTAGCAGAGGAAAAATATGGTCCCTCCTCCAGTCAAAAAAGGGTATTGTTCTCCAATCGGATTCCATACACGTAAGTTCAAGTTATCAATTATACAAACAATTTCTCAAATGACGAAACTAATTTTAGAGAAAGCAGTCAATCAGCGGCAGTGCCGGAGCCAACAATGCCATTCGCTGCGCTAAGTTTACGCAATGCCTTATTTCTCACGCGTGCCTATAGCCATCAAGTTAATGTTACGACAAGTTCGGAGGAGGGAAACGAAGAAGAGACTTGTAAATCAATACCGACTGATAATAATTTTTGTAATCCTTCTGGTCCTGTAACTAAAGAATCCCTTGATATTATGCTATCCGCTATATATGCCGCCTATAGTTATGTGTCTCTGCGTTTAGGTGATTACGTTACTGCTTTAGAAATGGCTCAAGAATTATTGAAAACCGATAAAATCTCAGATGCTCACAAGCAAGTTATTCGGTTATTTATATATATATATATATAAATAATATATTCATTTGTTATTTTAGATTATTGGCTCATATGTATGCTGGTGAAGCATTAACAATGATGGATAAATTAGCTGAGGCGCGGCCTCACTTCGAACCTACTTTTGTCTCTACCTTGAATACTTTTGATTTTGAAACTAAAGATTGGCATTTAAAGTCTTTGGATGCGGCTCAAAATGTGGTGCGCTACAATTTAGCGGTTGCTTTAAATTTAAAAGGTGACTTTGAGGTGGCTAAAAGTCTCCTAAACACATGTACTCATCCTATAGTGGCATCAAAGGTTTTCGCTTTAAAAGTGCATATCGAAAAAACTCAAGCTGCGGCAGCTAGTTTGATAGCGCCGCGTATTTAGGCAAAATAAAAAAAAGAATAATTAACATTAATTAGTTATGAGAAATTGCATTTTATCCTTTGAGATGGAATTACAAGAACGGATTAAGTGATAGGTAAATAACAGTTAATCGACTGATAATGCGACTGTTGTCAATTCGCTAAAGCACTGCAACTTTTACTAAAGCGTCACTTTGACAGCTTGATTAAACAATGGTTTTGTAAGTAAAGTATTATTATTATTATTATTATTAATTTCGCCAGAGAAATAAATTCTAAGACTAAACTCTTAAAAGCACTAGCATCTAGAGCTATCGGCTTTTATTAAAAACTCTACCGCACTTGAGATTCGAACCCACGACCATTGGCTTGCTAGTCGACATTCTTCGCCTTCAGCTACTCAGGCGGATGTTAGTAAAGTAAAACTATTTATAAAGCAGCGTTCAGTATGGAAAAACTTCGAAATAACTTCCACTTGGATGCGTGTATCGCGCTTAAAATTAATGAAATCTCAAGTAAATACGAAGAAAATATAACTAAATCTGTGGATTTTCTCAATAAGTAATAATAGAAGACAAAGAGTAGAAATTACACATTGGAAGAGTTACATCAAAAGCTCCGAAAATGATCTCCTGTCCTCTCTAAACGTATTGCGTTGATTTGTAATCAATCCACGAAAATAACATTTGTCTGTAATTAAAAAATAATAAATAATAATAATTTAGACCTATAATCCGAAATTACTATTATAAACCAACTTTGCGAGGTTACATGGAAGAGGCTTTAAATAATTTTTATACCCGATCCAAATAATTCATATTATTTTAGTATGGCGAAATACAATGACTTAGCGATTTTCGTAAAAATATTTGAAAAATTGTAATTTTGTTCATGTAACCATTCTTTCCAAAACAGGCGTTATAAGTGATATGGTCCCGAAAATAGCGCGGCACACTTCCAATTTGATTGATTTCGTACTAGAGTCAAACTACGTCGTTGTGTCAAACTTTAAAACTTTCGTTATTTCTATCGCCTTAAGTTAGAAGAAACTAAGCTTAGAGCATCACGGGTGCTATTATTCGTATAAAAAATTGATATGATTAGCGACTAAAAATTGTGTAAATTTATTGTTTATACATTTATGACTTAATTTTAATTTGAACTAATATTTGGCATGACTATAAATAAAAATATATTAGATGAACAAATAAAAATAAAAAATTAAAATATCATCTATGATGATATTCATAAAAATTGAATTCATCGATAATCTTATTATATATAAATTCGCGGACACGTAGACCGCAAATAAAATCAAAATGATTCCAGTATTTTGGCGGCAATTTGTACAGCATTTTAACATTAGGCAAATGTTTGATTAATTGAAACATATCTTCTAAAGCGATTATGTAATCATTTTGGGCAAAGAATAATATAACTGGCGTAGTAACTTTTTCCAAATGATAAGCGGGCGGTTCCAATTGATGATAGCGTAACCAATTTATTTCGCGACCATAATCATATTGACGAAAATTTTTCGATATATAGCCTTGAAAATAATGCATTAATTGTTTGACAGATCCACCTACTGGAAAATTAGCCATTAAGTCCGGCAAGATAGTCTAAAAGTGAGAATTTTTTTTTTTTTTGCAATTTTTATTTCAATCTTCAATTTCTTGAGCGACATACCAAATTTAACATTTGCGTATTATAACCAACTGCTGGCCATAGGCGGCTAACACAGGCATGCGGTGGTTCAGATTTCAAGCATGTCATCGATAAAAATTTTTTCACATATTTATTAGTTGATACCATTTCTACACCCTGCAGAATTTTGCTAACATAATTCCTAGTACCCAATAAAGGGCCAAATAGCTTTGCCAAAGGTGCTTTAGTATTGCCAACATAGGTAACGGGTGCTAACAAAACGGCCGTTTTGAAATATTTATTATATTGAGGTAACATCGAATTTAAAACCAAAAATATTGTACCGCCCTGAGATATGCCAATGAAATGCATTCGTTCTTCACCCGTACACGCGTGTATGAAATCAATCATTGCTGGCATATCGTAAATACTCATTTCATGCCAACTAAAATTCCAAAATTCAGGCTGCGTATCATTATACCAGATATTGTGGCGTGAATAGATATTACCGCGATTATTACCCAACCAAACATCGTAGCCATTATTAGAAAGCAAATACGGTAAAGAGTCCTCTGCACCATTTAATAGCCAAACATCCGACGAGGCGTAAATACCGGCCATCAATAATACTACTGGTCGTTTTTGCAAAACATGATCGCCAAGTTTTCTTTGCCTGCACGGTATACGATGTAATGTTAAAACGTAACCGTCCTTGGTTTGTACATTGTGTTGTTCAACAGGAAATCCATCATGTTGTATACGTTTCATCTGTAAATATTCAAGTGCGCCCGATGATAATTGCAAAACACTTGACCTAATAACAACATTCACAAGTTGTCATGTAAGCTGAGTAATTATATATACAAATGAAGTTCACCTGGTGAATGTACAAATTGTTTTTGCTGTTTTCATATATGCATATGCATATATGTTTTAGGATGGAATTATGTGAAATATTTCAATTATGTGAAATCGTAACGAGCGGATTGTAATAATTTCATTATAAGTACATTATATGATCGCTTAGATGAAACAATACCTGAACGAAGGCTTCATTCAATTAGTATGACAAGGCGCGATAGGGTATATGCATGCAAACGAATGGAAAAAGTGATGCAATCAGTGGCAGTGCGATAAGCAATTTTTACGATTTAATTTTCTATGAAAACTAATGTAATGATTCAAATTCGTCTTTTTTGTTGTATTAATGACGTCCAGAAGCACAATGGGTAACATTTATAGAAAAGAATTTGATTTGCATGAACTGCATAAAAGATTTAAGTTGTTTAGTCAGGCAGACGGACTGAATGACCGACAAATCGATCAACTCATGAATACGTAGATCGACTGAGCGAAAAGCATAAAAGCTAACGAATCGATCAACTAATAGAGGAACAGATTACCTTGATCAACGTAAAGTTAAACGCAAGCTACTTTCTCTGGGAAAGTACGCACAAGTAAAATTCTAAACCCATTCCCATCCTCCTGCGAATCCTTCCAAGGGAATCTGGCACACGAAACTAATGTTTTGCCTGCAACGTTAACCATTCGAACAGCTAGAAGACATGTGTGCTTGTTAAGCAGCTTAGATAAATTCACGTCGTGCTTTATCTCAACAAAATTCCACAAAGCCGTCCTTATCGTTTGTAAACTTTATTTGTCATGATAACGCATTGAGAACTACACGGATGGCCAAATAAAACAAAAGGGTGTTCAGACAGTTGATACAAATCAATTACTTCCATCTCCGCACAATTGCCGATATAAAGGAGATTTTTGAAATGAAAAGTTTGCTACATAGTCCCATGAGAGGGAGTGATTGCAACCTAGAATTTACACCAAAAATTTTTAAGAACAATTTACACCAAAAAATTAGTTATGTGCTTGCTTAAAAGTAGTGGTGTTTTTTTCGGCATCTATATCGAGGCTGATGCAATCACGCGTAGTTAGTGAGTGTGTGCCCAATCGGTACGTGTTATGCCTTTACTGACTAAGCAATCATTACACTTACAATCAAGTAGCGTCAAATCGCGCTGAGTTTTGAACACCACCAACTTCGCAGCTCTTGTCTGATCTATGCTGCTATACGGCGATCGGAATCCTATGCATGCCATTTGGTTATCAAAGAAGTTTTCTGTACAACAACAAATTTGTTTCCTTATGGAGTCACATTCACATAAATACACTAAGTTTTGTCACATCGCTTGTTGAAGAATGACTTGGGGCCCTTGATCACCACGTCTGTGTGAAGCAGTGCTGATAATGCGTCGTAAGAAATTTCTTCAACATATTTGTTTGAGGGGACTAAGATACTGCCTGAAGCTTACAACTCTCACTCAAAAGTATTTCAAAATTCAAGATAAATGAATAATGTCTTCATATGTCCTTTGGCTTTGAAGATAGAAGAAGAAATCTTAATTTTGGCTTTGAAGATAGAAGAAGAAATCTTAACTAGGCATTTTTTGTAAAAGTTACGCCTTATGAATGATAAACAAGTCGCAGCGGCAATGTAATGCATAATGAAATGCCAGCACGTGCTGTAATGTAACGGCATAATTGAATACACACACTTCCCACACATATTAAAATATTTTGCATAATTTATTTTGCTGCATATTTTTTGTTTTTTTTTTGTTTTTTTTTCTGTTACAAATCATTTAAACGCAGCCACTCATATATGTATATACGACGACCGAATAAGTATCACATATGCATATATATATATGTGTGAACAAACACTTAAGTAAATATATTATTTGTTATGATATTTATGAATGAATGCATGAATGAAAGCAAATGTGCACAAAAGTGACACAATAAATTAACAACACAATAGTCAGTTAATATATGCAAATGCACACACACAAACACACACACACACATACACACATGCACACACAAATACACATATACACGCATGCACATACCGCATCAGTTATAATGACTTCACGATTCGATTTTGTATGGAAGACAAACGACGTATCCACAATGCAGCGGTTTAGCGGCAACAATAGTATCAATAATGAAAAAGAAACCATACCGATATCCAAGGATGACATATCTGTGTATCTTTAACAATAGATAGATAGGCTGAGGATTAGGAGAATTTTGACAAAAGGCAAAGAATATGCCAATGCAATAATGCAATGAATATCCGTAAACACTTGATCAGCAGCTACTCCGAAGGTAGAATGATAATAAATAAATAATTGTTGGTTTCATCATCGTTTAATCTTTCGATGAAAAGTGGCAAAAATAAAATTCCATATCACGACACTGAACCGGTTATAAAACGTTTCGCTATTATATTCCACGCATTACGTGGTATGAATGAAGAGAAAACCTGGATAGACTTGGTAAAATGATTGAATGACTGACTGACCGATTGACCGCGACAGGATAATATCGTACAAGCTGCTTACTCAGCTCACGTTCGTAATCTTTCATTATATTCACTTCTTTCTGACGGAATGCATTTTTTTTGTCATTTTTCGATTTTTTTCATATGAAAAAAAAATAAATTTTGAAATTTTATGTAAAGCTTTTTGCGACTAGCGGTAAACGTCTGAATTGCTTGAACAGCATACAGCAAAAGACTCGAATGTGATAATATTCCTCCCCATAACCAGATGTGAAACTTAATAGTTTATAAAAGCATAGTGTCTTTATGCACCCTCCAGTTAGCTAGTGGCCGACGTTGCAAACCTGTAACCAAAAACATGCTTTCCATATCTTATTATGTTTGAATAGTTTTTTTTTTTTTGGGTGCCAAAATTTTTATGCCTATCAACAAATAATGCAAGTATATTGATTTCATTAAGTCTTATGTCAATTCTTAAAACATTAAATGGAAATTTCTTCCATATATGGCAACAACTCTCACTTGGTTTACATTGAAAGGAAATTCTGAAGATGCAATCAAGTTTTCTTATCTCTCGAACTGCATTATGCGAGTGTCTGATCTTTGTTTGCATTTCTTCTTTTGTTGTTCAAGCGTTGGAAAGCATTATCCTAATCGTTGACGTTTATGATGCCTGAATATCTTAGACGTTATTTAAAATTCACTTCGAAGGCGATTAGTATTCCTATCATATTTGTCATTATTTTTGTCCATCTTTTTCTTTCTTGAATATCTCTTACTAAAAATCAACTAAATTTAGAAGATTTGCCTTGAAATATGCAACAGATATTAAAGAAATATATATGTATTTTTTAGTGTTTTAATAATGTCCTTCCCGTCCATCCTTTATATACAATAGTCCTAAATTCAGTTTGAAAATGGGCTGCAACTTAGATTGCTGAGACTTACGAAGGCTTGATCTATTTATCAGAGCCATCAAGAAAGTTCCGTTATAAATAGAAATAGATCAGGCCGTAAAGGGGGCACTAAGCATAACAATTTTTGTTTAAAAACCTCTTCAAATCGATTAGTAGTGGAGTTTACTTTGGCCGCAGTAATAATGGATGCTTTGACTCTGCAAAAACAAAACATTTACCGATTATACGCACGCCAGCTAGGATACGACCGCTTTCTTATCTTTCTATCGTTTGCCTTATTTATTTTCAATCGTCAACAACGGACATCACCTGAGTATGTTTGGTCATATAACGAAAAAAAAAAAAAAAAAAATTCGATCTGGAATCTGGCCTATATATATATATAAAACTTTTTAAAAAAGTGCATCCAAAATTCACTCTAAACGCTTATTCGCTACCATAAGTAACTAATTACGCGCTTTGTATTTCATATGTATTTAAATATGTAAATTTATGAACGTGGCGATCTTTATTAAGTATTTCTCCTTTTCCTTCTTTTTATTATTCATTTACGTTTTTTTTTTTGTAAATGTGTCATAAATCGTATATGTTTAGCCGTACTTGTGATTTAGTAATGTTTGCATATTATAGGCTTGTATATGTATATATGTGTATATATTATGCCTTTTCTTTAAGCACATGCGCAACTTTAAACCTTCAAAATTTACCTTTTTTTTTTCAAGTGTTTGCGCATACATTTGTGCACTTGTGTATATGCTTTGAATATTTGATATCGCTGACTGACTATATACACGATTGCCTATATGGGCCGTTAAGTACCGCTGTTTTTGGGTAAATTTCCATAAAGCACATATTGATTTTATTGTGTCATCATTAACCACACCACATACCTAGCTAATCAATCGTGAGAGGTGTGTGTGTGTGTGTGTGTGTGTCTGTGTGTGTGTGCGTGTGTGTGCGTGAAATTTCTTTCTTCTCTCCCCTTTATTGGTTTGGCAGATATCTTATTATTATTTTTTATTTTTTTTATTTTTTATTATTGGTTTCATTACAAGTCATTTGTGGTTTTAAGAGATGTAATAATTGAAATTAAAAAGAAATAAAAACAATTTATTCATTTGTAGATCGCATCTTGAATATCATAAACCTATACTTGGCTTAGATAGGTAGCAATGATAAATAATTGCAGGTGAATTTCCGCTTGATATTTATCTATCAGTTACTTTTGAAATTGCTTCGTTATTTCAGCCGTTATGGGTGCATATTTACTACTTGACTTCTCGCACCCACAGTACATACAATGGCAAATGCTAAATATATGTTTACTTAAGTTCAATTTTCCTAATTAATAAATTCCGTTACGAAATTATAAGTAGAAGTAACACTTTATAGAGCAGATCTCTTAATCTGCATCTCGTTAAGTCCTGAAAGTAACGAAAGCTAGCTAGTATTTGCTGTAAGGCGTATGAATAATGACGGGTTTATGGCAACATTAGCCGACTTATGGCGCAAACTAAGTTTTTGTCAAACGAATGGTCTATGTAAAGAAAGTGCACGCAGGTTAGCCAGCAGGTTAGCTAGCTTCCAATTCGTTAGGAGAAGAATGCTGCCATAGTGAATATAATATCCTTAATAAATCACACACACATTTTACACACATTTTCAATATGTTACTTTTAACTGGAAATTTATTAACAAACACATTTTTTTTTTAACTGACCCTCTTAACTAAAAGTTAAAGTTATTGCCTTTCATACACGCATATGTTTTGCTAATTCTTAGTTACATTATTGTGATTGGCTTCTTTTTTTTTGTCTGTTACAAACATGCGACATAAAATTGCTTTGAAAAATACGAACACAAATGCAAGCTAAAAACATATATGAAACGGAAAGTTTATTTGAAGAAATAAGCTACCAATTGTTATCAAAATTTATTCTATTATTATAATTATTTTAATATAGACACGATTTATACCTATTCTTGCTTAGGACAATTTTGTTATCTCATAAAAGTTACGGGGAAAGACTTAGGATAGAGTCAGCTTTGATTATACCGTTCAATTCGGAATCATTTTCTCACTCGATCCTTGCATGTCTGTCTGTCAGCCTGTTTACCTGTTTGTCTGTCTGTCTCTCTACTTACCTCTTTCATGGTCTCTTTTTGGACGTAGTGACAGTGCACGGACAATTAGTGGCCCAACACTAGGCTAAAAATGCACACCGGAACCGCTTTCGTATTACCTCGAAATGGATCTTTGTGGGTTGTTGATGCTTCCTAAACCATCCCACCTGCCCCACCCCTCCTCCCACCTAATTGCATGTCTGCCTTTCTGTTTTCTCGGCTGTCTGTGTGTTTGCCTGCCTGCCTGCCTGCCTGCCTCCTTCATGTCCATTGGTCAATTCTTCTCTTTGCCCGCCTCGTTGTCTGTCTGCCTAGTCGTCTGTTTTCTCGCGCGCCTATTTGTCTTAATACTTGTCTATCTATCTGCCTATCTATCTGTTTATCTGATGCCTGTGCCTTGTTGTGTTCAAATTGTAGATAGCAAGGTTGAGATATTTTAATGAACGTTGGTACGCGAATCTGTTTCCGCCTGGAAAATGTATTGATTTGGATTTCCTTTGCTATCATTTCAATTTTCAAAAATTTTTCTACAAAAATCGCTGATTAATAGTAATTCGGTATATATAAAGATGGCATATAAAATTCGGATTGAATGAACCAGTTTTTTTGAACTCCTTTCCATCGAACTTCACATAGTAAAAAAAAAAAAGGTATAATTTTTAATACTTCATTGTTAAATTCGGTCCGTAATAGTAAGGCCGTAAATATATTCCCATGAAACGTGATGGCTTGAATTTGCTAATAAATAACATTGAAATATTGAAGGTTAAAATTAAATCATAAAAAAAGTGCGCGATAAAAAGAATTTAAAAATAGTTTTGGACTAAACGCTAACTGAGATTTCAATGAGTAAAATCAGTTATTTAACTGACTAATTCAACTATAAATTGTTTGGGCTTTGCATGACATTTCTATGTGGCATAAGCAGTTTGGCAACTGTGTGTATAAAAAAATTAGAAGAAAATTTGAGAGCGTAACACAACAACAATTTGAATTCTTTTAATCTAATTCAATTCAATTAATTCAGTTAATATTATGTGTTGTTCTTTGTAATAACGAGAATCGAGTATGAAGATATCGCAACCAGTTCCTAAAAGTTCCATAAGAAGAATAAGACAAACTTATTTAGATAATTTGTTTATTATGTCTATTCATCATTCTATACAGTTTAAGATATTAAGGCGTTAAGTTGTTACTTAACTTAATTTCACATAAATTTTTTTTGCAATTAACAAAAGAAAAGGAAAAAAAATTATTTAAAAAAAAGAAAAAAAAAAAAATTGAAATTAATAAAAATTCAAGGTAAGTAAATGAAGGGTATGCATGATTCGTTTTAATGGCTGCTTTGTTTTCATTCATTTTTAACACAAATTTATGTTCTGACATAATATTATATAACGACATTATATGTAGGACATGCTTAATAAATTGAAATTCATTTTTTTTATTAATTTATTTTATTTTATTTTTTTTTTTTTTAAATAATAAGATATAATAAGCAACTTTTGAAATTTAACACAATAAGATAGTTGTCGCTTTACATAAACACATATGTTTATGGTCTAGAAGTAAGCAACTTTCCAAATGTAACACAGTTACTTATTTGCCTCTTTACCGGTTTCCTTAGTAAACAAAGGTCCCATTGATATGAATAAAATAAAACTGGACACACAATAAAAGCCGAAAATTTCCAAAAAGAAGAAAAAAAAACAAAAACAAAAAAAAAAGGAACAGAAAAAAGTACTAAAAAAAAAACTCACCGTTGATTTAACACAATAGGGCAACAACTTGTGTTGTTGATATATTAAACAATGACATGTTTTTGTTAATATTTACAGATAAACAACATTCAACTCCATGCTTAGATGCATGTATTCACTTATGTTTGCTGCGAGATAAATAACCCCCGTGTGTGTGTGTGCAACCGATCACTCCCATCCAGCACATACGCACATAATTAAGTATGTTTATCGACTTGGAAAGAAACTGAATTTCCGTTTCGTTTAATAATTGTTATCTAACCGCTTGAGAATATGTGACCGACCACAAAAGAAGTAAAGGCGATTATAAATGGATGAGAGAGAGAGAGTGGCTTCAAATCAT